TCAGTTATAGATGTCTCTCACTCCCATTTTTATGATATCCGTAAATGTTATATTATAAAATTATTATTATTATTATTATGTTATTTTTTATTATCCGTGAATGTTAGCAACTGGACAAATTGAATGCAGCGGTCAAGGAAAAGCGACCAGAATTGGTCAATCGTAAAGGTGTCATTTTCCACCAGGACAATGCTAGGCCGCACACGTCTTTGTCCACTCGGCAAAAATTGATGGATATTGGTTGGGAATTGATGTTACACCCACCATATAGCCCTGATCTCGCGCCATCGGATTACCACTTATTTCGATCCCTGGACACTCCCTTCGTGATAAAACTTTTAACGATGATGACGCTGTAAAATCTCACTTAACTCAGTTTTTGGCCGAAAAGGATCAGACTTTCTACGAGCGTGGAATTTTCAAGTTGTCGGAGAGATGGCAAAAGGTCATCGAACAAAATGGAAAATACATTACAGATTAAACTTCATTCCAAGTTAAAAAAAATTTTTTATTTCATTGAACAAATCGGCAATTACTTAGTTGCCAACCCAATATAATGCTTCCAAACGACACACTCGCTTGTAACTGTGAAGTAAATCTTGTACGAGTTCCGTCTCCAATTTTTACGCAATTCTACATCCTACCTTCAACAGATTTAAAGAAAATGCAAAATGATAGAATATCATTTATTCATTAGATGTCCTTCATTTCACGCTTACACAATTAAGTGCAATTAATCGTGTCACGTATACGTTTCTAACAATTTAATTGTTAATATAATTTACTAAATATAATCCAATTTATTAATGTAAAAATTGCTTTTAACCGAAAGATGACAATTTCTTGCGATCCCTGAAAGTCGCCATTCGAGTGCAATGATTATGTCAGGTTACACGTATGCGAGACAATGTACAGTATCGGACAAAAGTATTCGCACACCGTTGAATTTTGCTATTACTTGGAATCACATAAAAGAGGAAAGTGCCCTCGTTTCTCAACTTTTTTATCTGAGCTTACAAGGAAAATTTAATTTAATTTTTATAACGAAAATACGTTTTAAAGATCTCGGTAACTTATATACGTGCTGAAAATTTCGATTAAAATCGGTTGACGTTGTGTTATAAGCTACAATCAATTAAAGATCGCGAAAAGCGTTGTTTTGTCTCGATTTTAGACATTTTCGACCAATATAGTTGAGAAATCTGCAGTTTTTTAAAATATTTCGACGCTTGTAGCTCGACTGTGCATGAATCAATTTTGATGAAATTTTCAACATGCATATAAGTTAACGAGATCTATAAAACGTATTTTTCTCTTTAATTTTCGTTACATGCTCAAATAAAAAAGTAGAAAAAACCAAATGCAAATTGCAAATAAATTTTGTTTACTCATTCTCTATCAAACTAACCGGACTAACGTCTCGAGGAGATTCAAGTCATTCGGACCGATTTTAGAAAAGTTGTCCCGTTCGAAATGCTTGTCAACATACTTCCCATGCTGCGAGTGTACACGTGTCGTTTATGAAAGCGTGAAATTCTTTATGAAAATATACGGTCGGGAACAAAACATTTAATAACTCTATCGAAGCGCGATAAAAAAAAAATCTACAAAAAGTACACGGGTCTAGGGAAATTATTGTATTTGTTGTTTTTGCGAGTAACGCTGAGACGAGCAGTCGACCGAATAACGTTGGAACCGGTATGAAAAACCGTCCATCAACGAGAGAAACCACGGTACGTTAATAACGAAGTCCCTCGTTAATTCGCCGCTGTTTAGCAAGAAACTCGCGGCATCGATATATCTGACATAACAATCTGGAAAGCAATTCGATGATGCATGAAAAGCGATCGTTCGAAACGAATTCCGCTAATGTTCGCCCATTTCCTGTTCTTTTGCAGATGCGTGGCTGGAATGGCAGAAAAGTTGTGCGAGGCTGCCGCACGTGGCGACGCTGCGCGAGTTGCGCGTCTACTTGACGAAGATATTAAACCGTTGCCGGACGAGGTGAGTCCCTTTCCGCTCAATTATTTCCCCCTCGGTGTACATGAATTATTTAATCTGCCGGCCAGAGTCCGTAAATCTTTCCCTTTATTGCGTTACGTCATAGGTTCATCAAGTTTCCATCAGGGGTGGGCGATTTTTGCAAAAATATCGATCCTGGAACGCATCGACAAAAATCGATTCGCTAGATAATTGTACCCTGAAAAATCGATTTTTATAAAATCGACCGATATTATTTTTTATATACATTATTATTTATTTTATATATTATTTACCAATCGGCCCTAAAATGCAATGCTTTCGTTCTTGTAGCACTTTAAAGCCGATTTAAAAAATCAAGTTCTTCAATAAACAAATCAATATTAACTGAATATTAAGTGTATGATATTTCTTCTTCTTCTTATTATACAATTTGTACGGGAAATTACATTTAAGTTATAAAATCAAAGGAACAGAGATTTAGAATGAGTGAGTACAAGGTTAAATAAAAAATGGTAAGATGATCTGAAATTCCTTAAATTTCTATTTATCTCAACTACTGTTTATCCTCAAATCTGTACAGATTATGATTATTCTATTAAAATTATTATTACATATTATATATTATATTATTAAATTATTCTAAGGACTTAAATTATTCATGGACTTTGAATGTTAACAGTTCATAACAAAGTCAACCGATTACAATGAAATTATCAGTATGCACATAAGTTACCAAGATTGATTAAAAAGTTGAAAAAGTATGAGTTTTTATTTATTTTTTGTCATTCCAAGTGATAGGAAAATCCAAGAAAAATATTTTGGCCATTGTACAGTAAATTAGTCCCTTCAACGTTAAACAAAAATTCAAGTAATTCAGTTCTGTTTTAAAAATTGTGTACACACTTTTCTATCCGTGAGTCTTAAAACAAATACATTATTATTATTATCAATATTCGACGTGGTTGCAATCGTTACACAGCAAATTAAAAACTACTTCGTAGTAATAATTCGAATGATCTAACCTTACGATCGCATTTAAAGAACATCGTCGCTGTACATGATAAATGAAAATTGAATACAAAAGATTCGAGAGATGCGCGCGTCCTCTAATCAAGTCCAATACATTAAAATATTCGAAGCATCATGATCGAACGGAGAGGGCAGAAATTGCGATAAGATTCGCGAGTCATTTACCGTGGAACGGTCGGCGCTCGGTCGAATTTTAATTATCGTTGATGAAGTCGTAGATTGATCGAACGGCGGTCTCCTCCGGATACGAAGCGCGGGAATGCTGTATATTAATTACGTTACGTATTTGCATGTCCGTTGTGACGGTCGTCGTCGGTGGGAAGGCCGATAAAGCGTGGTCGGGACGCATTTGTCAAAATGTTGCTCTCGCAAATGGCTGCCAGGCAATCTGTACGATTATCCATGCGGCCATTACAATTACTTCCTCCTTAATTGCGCCGATGAAATTAATCGTCGTATGGCTTTTTCCTCACCGCCGGCGATCTACCAGCTAAAGTGCTTTATTACGTTTAGCCGGTGCAGACGCTGCGGCGATTCGTCGGTATCAGATGCGTGAAATAATTCAAATAATGGAGATCGGTCACGATATCGAGGGACATGCGATCGAGTATTTTTCAATCGTGTTTATGGAATGCGCCGGATGCCTCGGATTATTTCGTTCGTATCGTTCCGATTAAAGGAACACGGCTGGGAAACAGCGAAATCTTGAATCAAGAGCTCGGGATCCGCGTACGAAAGCGAAATTTTTCGAAGAGTAGAATCGTGAAAGTTGAAATAATATATTATTTTATAATGTACATAAGAATCACACATTATAGTATACAGAGCAGTTAATTATAATAATATTAATAATATTAATTGTACAGAGCAGTTGAAGATATTATTAAAATAGAGAACAAGAGCATTGTAAAATGAACGTCTTTAACGAGAAGAAATTTTATTCTATTTTTAATTGGCCCTTGGATCGCGGGTCCATTTTTACCCCGAGCTACAAGAGTTCACTTAAATTCTAATTACGTGGCAGTAATTTTTAAACACCTTAATATTGAAATTAATTAACATTAAATTAATATCGATGCTAATAAGAGAATGTTATCTTTGATCTCATCGAAGTGAGTTTAAAATTATATAAATAATAATTGATATTAAAAATTTGGATGAATCTAGTTATGAATCTACCACAGCTAATCAAAAATCTGTATCGTCCGAAGGTTAACGACTTTAACTTGACCGACGTTAGAGCATAGCAATTTGAAAATATACTTCGAAACAATTTGTACAGTCTCTGTTTCTTTTTATTTATTTCATGCATGACACAAGATGGGATCGTGTCGCATTTCTCCATGTCAAAATATAGTTAAGTGTTTCTAGCCGAAGTAATCGGTGCCACGGAATCACAGGGCTGGTTTGAACGGAATTTATGTTGTTCGCAGGTCCTTTTTTCGCGAGCTTGATTTATCCTCAGAAATATTTATTGTGTGTGATATATTGCGCTCACCGTAACTAGTGTGCGCGGATAAGATATACTTCTTCATTAACACGCGAGTTGGTTCGCTCTATTACTTCAGGCAACGAGGCACAACCTATGCAGGAAATCCGGACCTAGGCTGCTGCTGCTGCGTCGAAATGATGTATACTGTGATTTGTTAAGTTTACGCTACATATGTTCTCGCGGGTAACACAGAGAAAAATCGAACTGTTGCGATAACGCGTTAGTTTCAGCAAACCGTGACTACCGGAATCCCGATTCTCTTAGGCTATAGGTGATTAGTGCATAGACAGACCGCGGATATTTAAAGAGGCTTTGTAGGTGCTTAAAATGTAATTTTCTAGGAGGAAGAGAAAACACTGCTATCTTCTAGCTATTAACAAAATTATTTATTTATTTTTATCTTTGCATGTAATTAAGGCCGCAATAGCGGTATAACAAAGTTTTTTTTATCTCTTATATTAATGATACATGCATTTATGAAAAGAAGAATTGCTTTTAGAGAAAAGCCTACTATATGTGCCACATTTTAGTTGCAGGAAAATATAAAAGTACCGTTTCTTTAAATCTGCAGCGCCCTGTAAATGCCAGACTGTCGCAAATTACTTAAGAATATGAAAGTGTAGAAAACATGAAGAAATGCTAAAACATAATTTCTTTAATATGATGCATGAATTTTTTATTAGGAGGTATTGCAAGAATTGTGATTTTATAATACTTCAGGTATGTTATTGTAAAAGCCATAACATTTACTGTCTATGTATTCTTATATAACTTGGAGGTCTTGCTTTTTCCAATACTTATTCTTGAAGTATATTAATTATGTTAAGTTCTGGAAAGGGGCGATTCCTCGGGTCTTTTGATGTAACTTTTTCCTTAACGAAAATGCAATCCGCGGCTTTGTTCACGAGTTATTAATGAAAAACACTGACCAATGAGAGACGAGCTTAGCTGGCGCAAGACAGCCGAGCCAACGAACAGTCGAAGTCCAGTTCCGCTGATTGGCTAGGTCGCCTAGCGCTAGGCGAGCTCATATCTCATTGGTCAGCGTTTTTCGTTAATAACTCGTAAACAAAGCCACGAATTGCATTTTCGCTAAGGAAAAAGTTACTTCGAATGGCCTGAAGAATCACCTCTTCCCGGCTGTTAATATAATTAGTGGATAGCCTGTATATCTTCACCGTGCATATCGTAGTCGTTTTGGCAAAAACGCATACAGTGTTCTACGATAAAATTAAAAAGGAAAGTACGAAAAATACTATTTAATTTGGCTTAACTGAACAGTTGTGTGCAAGCTGAGAAAGAGAATGTTTCCTTTTGGAATTTGAATTACTGATTTGTGTCATTGATAACGTCGAGAAGGTGGGTGGATGGAGCATCTTGAACATTATAAACAAACCAGAATCGACGCACGAGTGAAGCAACGGAGTAACCTAATAATATTCTGCATGTCGTCTGCCTAAAACAGCTCTTGAGAAGTTAGACTCGTCACTGTCTACAGTGGCACATGAAATGAATGACGATCCCAACTCGTCATTGTATGTCATGGGGTTAACGCACTATTACGATAAGATACGTGCTTCCCACGATTGCACAAGCTTTCGATCACTCGTCCCAACGCTAACAATGATCGATTGATACCGATAGCTTGCTTCAACCTCTCATCCGTCGCTCCCGCGAGTTGCGATCCCTCGGAGCCACCGAGATCCACTAAATTTAACTGCGATACTTGGTGAACACTATCTCGAATCTCCTCCGGCCTCTGTACTTTTGTTCGTCTGAATAAGAAATAATGTACTAGGTGTTCCACATTTTTTCGTACATCCCTCTCTGTATCTGACTTCTGACAAAAATTCTACGATTTTGACACAAACTTAATCATTTTTTTCCTACCGTGCGCCACTCTTTCGTAACTTTCTCGCAACGTTGCTTCTTGTTCCGACCGAACGAGTTGCCGTGAAATAATGCCAGACGTCGGTTTTCGGGAGTGGAGAATGCATATCGCGGCGCGATACCACTCGCCAAACCACTGTTCGCTAATTAAGGTCGCGCCCAGTTCGATTACAGCAGCTAATTCGACATGAGAATTTGCGGCTACCTATTAATTACACCACTAATTAGACCCTCTCTAGATAAATCGGTATGATAAGGTAATTGACCCTCCAATTTAGGTACAGATCATTTTCCGGAAGCAATTGTCTAAAATACAGTGTACAATATAGGAACACCTTATCCTTTTAATTAATTAAGTTCACAAAGTTTCGTTCGATGGAATGGTTTAAAATCATATAAAGATCAAATAGAGAAATGTATTATTCTACACTGTGATTTAAATAAGGATAACACTGTATTAATTATGATCAGCGTTAACAATACGAATAATAATAGCTCAGCCTTATTACATCACTTTAATTGTCATATCTATCTGCACGTAGGTAAATTAATTTATTCAATAATTACCCATAGAAGTACATTTCTATTTTTCATATTTACGAAGCCAGAAATTTATGATTTTGCCACAAGCGATAATGGAACAGTTAATTAACAAAAAATGATCGTCGTCTTACAGAATGGCCGAACACCTCTTCAATTGGCAGCAGCAGCCGGTCACGTAGACGTCTGCGAAACGTTTCTTCTTCGAGAAATCGACGTGAACGCAGCCGACAATGTGAGTACCGTTCCATAAACTATCTCATCCTTTTTTAATATTATTATCATTTCTTTGTCGTAATAATTGCGTTACGAATCGTGTATCGCAGAGATACGCGTATTATTAACGCGGCCATTGTCCGAGAAAGAAGGTGATACTCAACAATGTCTAATTATTGGAACTTAATAGGCGCTATATCTCGATTTATCATTTTTCTATGAACACGAGAGCGATCGTTCCTCCGGAATCTTTCCGAGTGATTAATGATTGGTAATTGCTTCAAGGATAGCCCACGCATCAGTCTGACAAGATCGATTTCTGACGACTTTTGTTCAGTATGTATATATGTATATACGAAATGTATCTAATATGCACACTCTACAGTATCATAAGTAGACTGCGGATCTTTATGCGAAATAAAAATTTTGGTTGTTAAATAGAAATTAATTTCTTCTTTTAATAATCTCAATAGATGCACTAGTTGATATAAATATCAATATGAGTATAATTATGAATATAAATATGAATATGAATATGAAAATAATTAATATAAATATAAATATGAATATGAACATGAATATGGA